AGAAAAGAAAAGAAAGGAAAAGGAAAAGGAAAAGGAAAAGGGAAAGGAAAAGACTGGCCTTAGAGATTAAAAACAAAAACAGAACCCCACCCCTTCGCCCTCCCAGCCCAGCCCCTGCTGGCCCGCCGTCCTAGCTGAGCAAGCTGCTGGTTTCTGTCATTCAGTCCAAAGGTCTTTGCTTTATCTCCGCAATCACCACCTCAGGCCCCTTTCGTTCCAAACCCATCCGCTCTACTCCTTCCATGAACAAGTACACGGCCTGGTGCTAGGCACCAGGGACCAGATCCCTTCACCTTGAGATAAAAATCTGACTCTTTTACCATGGGGGGAGGGGGGGCTGTCTGCCCCAGGGGATTACAGGGAACACTGCTAACAGCCCGATGCATAAACTGGCCCTGAATAAAATGAGAATATAAGGTAGCTGCTCCCCCACACTCCCTTCCCCATCACCCTCATCCCCAACAGTGCCCTCCCACCCACCCCCAACACCCAACACCATAGCCTTGGATCTTTTTACCCAAAAAAGAATTGCAAATTCTTGTGCCCAGAATTTTTGGAAAGTTTCACTTGCCGCCGTCACTCCTCTGGAGACACTTTTCCAGATTCCTCAAATCACTCAGAGCTGAGTTCCGAATTCAGCTGACTGGCTCCTGAATCTATACTCTTAACCAGTCCATTCTAGGGCTTCTCGATGAATGAGTTTTCTTTTCCCTGCCTCTACCTACAAAGCTTTCTTTTGCCCTCCCCTTTTCACATGAACTCCTACTCATCCTGCAAGACCCATCTGTAGGAGCGCTGCTTTTCCCTAAGCGCCGTGAGCTGAGATTCTTCAAGAACCCCAGAGGATGCTGTCTGCACCTGTCTTCAGTACATCTCCTTACACCGAGATAAAAACAGACCCCGGGTTACCCACTGCAAAGGTACAGACTCCTGGTAAAAGAATGACTTCCTCTAACGGCCCAATAGTAACTACCTAGAGTCCCCAAAACCGTCTGCATGAATGCCCAGATTGTTGATTTGTGTTCAAAGAGGACACAAAGAACACATAAACCTAAACATGGGGTTGGGTCCCACCTGGAGAGAGGTCTCTCCTGGCCTTCGTCACGCAGAAGGGGTAGCCCCGGTCAAGGGGGTCCCCGGGAAGCTAGACTAGGTATCAGTGTTAACCCAAATCCGGCTGAGATGTCTGTACGAAGGTCCTAAGCACCGAGTGGCTTCCACTCAGAAAAGACAGTCCAGAAGGTGGCAGGGACACGAGGGACCCACAGTACCAAAGGGGGTGTGCCCCCCCCCCACAGAAGCCAGCTCTGTGGGGAGCAAAGACAGACCCGGAAATGGAAATGGGGAGTTCTAAGAACAAGTTCTGTCATTTGACAGCACCAGGAATCTAACCTCTCCCCTCGGACTGTGTTTCTATTTCTTAGGGCCCCTCACAGGTCCTTCCCCCGCATCCAGGAAAGGTCCAGGCTGTCCTAACTGTGCTAAGATGAAATGAGGGGGAGGCTTTTTACTAACTCTTTGGCCTGAAGTTTAGAATATTATCAACCCACTACCGACAGCAGCAGTAGGATGAAAATGGTAATCCAAGTGAAAGAATCCTCGGAAAGAAGAGAAAATTTAAGGAGCAGTAAGGTCTGTGGAATCCGGCCACATCCCTATCCCAAAATCTCTTCCCTATCCCAAAATCCTCTTTTCTTTGTTTTTTAAAAATTTTATGTATTTATTCATGAGAGACACAGAGACCCAGGCAGAGGGAGGACCAGGCTCCCTTCGGGGAGCCCGATGTGGGACTCGGTCTGGGACCCCGGGGATCACGCCCTGAGCCGAGGGCAGACACTCAAACCCTGAACCACCCAGGGCCCCACCCCCCAAATTCTCTTTTCAATACTAAATCTCAGAGGTTGTGGTTTCGTCTTACTATCTTCTAAAACTTCTCCCTCACCACGTTGTATCTTAAAAGGGTCTTGCCATTTCACCAATGTGGTACGCAAAAGTGCTCAGAACAAAACAGAAACTAAAATGTGTGTTGGTGAAATGAATGAAGCAATGCATGGACTTTCTAAGTTTTAAGACATCCTGAAGACCACCAGTCCAGTCCTTCTCCCACAAGTGCACATCTGTCCACACAGGGCTTTAATAGGTTGTCACAAAAGCCAATCAACAAATACCAACTAAATGCCTACAATAGTTAAGATGCTGTGCTTTTAGGAACAACAACAGAAATATATGGGTCACTGATACAACAAACGTTTGGGGGCCCCCCATGTGTCAGACGCTTTGCTACAGGCCCTAAAGATGCTACAAGGAGTACGCCACAGGTAGCACCTTAGGGAAATTATGGAGAGGATGAATGGACCATAAGTAACTCTAATACTACTTAAAATAGAAAATGTTAAGGGTTTTCAAAGGTTAGATAAAGGCTATCTGGAGTCAGAGGTCAAGAAGGGAAACCAGGTTCCAAAGAACTTCCGGGACACTGCCATTTGGGATAGGACATTCTTTGTGATTTAACCTTAGAGTTCAGGAATGAAAACTATTAGTTTCTAGCTGAAGTGGTTAATGGAAATGGCTTTGTAGGTTTTGACGAAAATCAATATTCTATCTTCATATCTTTAGCACTATGTCAAATGGAACCGATAGTCGATTCTGAAAAGAATACAGATCAATTCTCTTTTAATGGAAACCATCACCAAAACTACTCTAAATAACAAAGTTATTGTCACCTGAGAGTATGGAAACACAGATTTGTCAATCTGAGTACTGATAAAATCTATGTAAAGAATAATTCTGGTCTTACGGGTGGGCCTTATTTAACAGTAATTCGATAACTCCTATTATTTACATCATAAACTAGAAAAGTGAAAATCTGGCTACTATATAGCTACATATCACATTTCTTTTGTCCTATAAACAAATGAAATTTATCTTCCAGTTTCTTTCAGGCACCCGGGACACCTGGGTGGCTCAGTGGTTTAGCGCTGCCTTGAGCCCAGGGCGTGACCCCAGGGTCCTGGTATCAAGTTCTGTATTCGGGCTCCCTGCAAGGAGCCTGCTTCTCCCTCTGCCTGTGTCTCTGCCTCTCTCTGTCTCTGTGTCTCTCATGAATAAATAAATAAAATATTTTTTTTTAAAAAAAGACATGCTACTTCTGCTTTTCCAAACACCTTGAAATGCATCTCACTAAAGCCGTTTCCTTCCAGGGAAACGCACTATAATGGGAAGCAGGAGACTCGAGCCAGGCCTGGCTTCACCACCTGCTACCTGAATTTGGGCAGGTAAATTCTCTGGCCTAAATTTTTGAATCCATAACATAAAGCCTTTAGAGCAAATACCTGCTAAGATCCCTCTGAACTCTAAAAAGAAAAAAAAAGAAAAGAAGACAAATCCTAAAAACTTACCTCTTACTCTCAAACCATCAACAAAAGCAAAAAGTTTCAAAACTAATGTTAAAGGACCCTAAGTTTAACTACCTTTCTCCTTCTTTTACTTGAGTCAACAAACTTATTTATGAATTTCCTACAGCAGGTAGGTTAAGCGGTTTCCTACCGTTACAGACGGGGAAACCGACACCAATATATCCCTTAAGAAACAATTATGTAACAAAACATTTCCAGGTCCAGAAGCAATCCCCTAAATGGAATTTTGCCTCTATCAAAAAAATTACTCATTAACTTCTTTGAGAATTTCAAAAGGTCTTTAATCCATGTTCTCCATTTCTGCAACATATTTTTTCTGTTCGTTGTTGGGGGGGGGGGCATTGGCCTATGTTTACAATTTTACAATTTTCCCTACTGGATCTAGGAAATGAATCCAGCACTTCTGGCCATTTGTAGGGAGTAGGATGCAGACAAGCACATGTGCCTAATCTACTCATCCCCCTCGCACTGAAGAACCTATCCTATGAATACACCTAGCAGGCAAATTTTTTCGATGTAGGTATGTATGCAAAGTGCATACTCTGGGGAAATGACTATAAGGACAGAAGCGAACACGTTACTGCTTTCCCCCTGTCTGCAACTGTACCAGTCACAGAATAAAAATCTCTCTAGCTCAGCATAAAGAAGTGACATTAAAAAAACCTAACTCCTGTTTTAAGTAAAAGCCCCAAGTCCTATACCTCGACGCTGCTGCATTTTTCAGGACCTTAGTGGGTACCACTGAAACAACAGCTCCAGATAAACGCCGTCACTACTATCTTCAAGCATCAGTCCCACGGAAATCTGCTGTCATCAGCTTAATTTCTGCATATTAAGTGAATTCCGTTAAAGCGCAAATGGTACGACTGGCTGAAAAGCAAAGGGAACGTAGGAAAGGCAGAACAACCCGCTTCACTTCTGCAAATTAAGTGAAATTAAGCAAAAAAAAAGAAAGAAAAGAAAGGAAGGAAGCGAGCAAAGGGAAGGACCTCGGAGCTGTCTGCAGCAGGGGTCCCTGGCAAGTTGTAGGTGCTTCCCCTCCAAGAGACAGGAGGAGAGCAAAGACGACAAGGCGCCTCTCCTTTCGGGAGTTAGACTCTTTGCACAAGTTGCAGTATTCGCCGAGTTCGCTGTGAGATGCGCAGGGGAGCGGGGGGCGGTGGCGCCCGCGGGGGGGGGGGGGGCGGCGCGGGCCGGCGCGGGCCTGCGCGGGCGGCAACCGGGGCACCGCGGCGCTGCGAACGCGAGCAGCCCCCGCGCGCACCTGCAGGGCCCCCCCGCCCCGCCCCCCCGCCCCCCCCGCAGGGCCGCCCCGGGTCCAGGGCCCCGCGGCCCGGCCACCCGCCCCGGGCAGGGCCAGCGCCGCTCCGGGCTCCGCGCTCCGGGCTCCGCGCTCCGGGCTCCAGGCCCCGCTCCCCCCGACCCCGCTCCCCGCCCCCCGGGATGCGCCCCCGACCCGGCCCCCCGCTCCTCCAGGCCCCCTCCCCTCCCCCTCCCCCCTCCCCCCCCCCCGCAGGCCCGGCCCGCACGCAGACCCCGGGGCCCCGGGCCGTCGAGCTCCCCGCGTGCAGGGCGGCGGCGCACCTGTCCTCCGACACGCTGATGACGCCCTCCTCCTTGGGCACGAGCACCGCCATGTTCACCACCTCCTGGGACCCCTCGACCCGCTGCAGCAGGATGGGCTTGCGGGTCAGCGGCTGCGGCTGCACCTCCGCCGCCATCGGGGGACGCGGCGCGCCGCGGGGCCGGGCCGGGCGAGGGCGAGGGCGAGGGCGAGGGCGAGGGGCGGGCACGGGCGGGGACGGCGACTCGGGCTGACGGGGGCCGCGCCCCCGGCTCGGGGCACCGAGACCGCCGCGACCCGGCTGCGAGCCGGCGCCACCGCCGGCGGGGGGGGCGGGGCCGGGGAGGGGGCGGGGCCTGCGGGGGCGGGGCCGGGAGGGGCGGGGCCTGCCGCGGGGGCGGCCGCTGGTGGGCGCGAGGGCGGCTGCTCTTCCGGAAGAGCCGTGGGGGAGGAGCGGAAACCCGGGGCAGGGGGCGGGGCGGGGCGGCCCCACGCGCGTGCGCCGGCCCGCTGGCCCCGCCCCCCGCCGTCCCGTCGCACGGCAGCCCCGCCCCCGGGACGCATGCGCCGTCCGTTACCTGCGGGCTCCGCGACTCGTCACCTTCCACGTCAGGGGCTCAGTCCCCGCCCTTTTGCTGTCCCGGGAGCGCGCGTGTCAACACCCCCGGGAACGCGCTTGCCACGTGCCCCGCCCCCTCCGGAGTCCCCGCCAAGGGGGCGGACGCGGGGCGGGGAGAGCGCGCCGGGGCGAGGCCGGAAAGCCCCCGCCCGCAGGCAGGAAGGCGGAACGCGGTGGGACGTGACCGGGCATGCGCGCTGCTTACCTGTCGCGAGAGCGGCCTCAACGAGCAGCCGGCCGCGGCGGCGGGCACGGGCTGCTCCCAGCGTGCACCGGGGACAGCCCGAGGGCTCCTGGGAGTTGTAGTTCTCCGGGGCCTCCTCGCCCTTCGCCTGGAACGACCTATCGCCCACCTGGCGGCCCCGGCCGAGCCGACAGGCGGTCCCTACCCGCTGGGCTCAGGCCGCTGCCTGCGACTGTGCAGCCCGGAGATGGAGACCGAAGAGAATCCCTGGTGCAGGCGTCTCCGAGCGCGTTGAGACGCCGTCTGCGCTGTGATCCGTGCGGTTTCCTTCAATGACCTTGCTAGGTGCAGGGTCACTGTGGCTCCCGGGGCCCGCGCCCCCGACCTGCCCCGGCTCCTGCCCCGCTCCCATCCCGGGTCCAGCCTTTGCAGCTTGCTGCAGGGACAGTGGGGAGCGTTACCGAGGTCACTGCGGAGCGCTGGGTGCCTGGCGCCAGGGCTCCTTGCACGATGACCCTCCCCGACCTCTGGGACCAGGCTCTGGGGGTCCCAACAGCCCCGCCAGGGCCGGGCCTCCTGGAAGCGCGTGTCCGGAGGCAGCATGCTGCAAAGCCCCTGTCCCGCCACCACGGCCCATCTCTGCGGAAGTTGTGCGAGGCGCTAAAGGGAGACAGGTGTTTCCCAGCTTGGGGGCCTGGAACGAGGCATCCCACTTCTCCGAGCCGCAGGTTCCGCATCCCTTAAGTGGAAAACAGTAACACCTACCGTGGGTGTCACGTGAGACCTGCAAAAGACAGATTTTAAGTGTCTTCATGCACAGTAGACGCTGTAGGATTCGAGCGATTGGGACATGGACATATGGGGGGGGGTCATTATTCAGCTACCACCGTGGAATCAGGTACTATTCTTAGGCTCCTGACTCTCCTCCTGTCCACTGCTGACCTCCAAACCCCTGTAGGTACTGCTGCTCCACTCCGTCACTTACCTGTTCAGTAGGTGAACATCCCCGAAGAGTATCTGTAGATCCACTGCATCAGTCACACAGTGGTTTAGAACTCAGTTCCTAAGCGTCATCCTTGATTCTTCTCTTCTCCTCCCAGCTCTTGTCCAAACCATGAACGAGCCCTATCAGCGTGCGCTACCGCCAAAGTAGATTTTAATTTTCCCACTCAGACGCCTGGGTGGCTCAGTGGTTGAGCATCAAGCTTTGTCCCAGGCCGTGACCCCGGGGTCCTGGATCGAGTCCCACATCGGGTTCCCTGCATGGAGCCTGCTTCTCCCTCTGCCTGTGTCTCTGCCTCTCTCTCTCTCTCTCTCTCTCTCTCTCTCTGTCTATCATAAATAAATAAAAATAAATTTAAAATAAAATTTAAAAAAATAAAAATAAAGGTCAGGACTATGCCCAGGTTCTGCTGTGGTCAGTTTTGCTCTAAATCTCCTGCCTCAAATAAGGTTAAATAGAATGTATGAAGGAATTAAATGGGGCCTCTGAGGAATGAATGTTGCTCAGACAAAATACTGAGATGGGAGGAGCAGTGAAATAAATTGCCATCTAGGCAAAATGATGAATCCACTTGGAGGGGTGCGGCCTCTGAGTCTCTTACGTAACCACCGTGACTTTACTAAGGACTGAACATTTTGTATTTTGTGGCAACTTTTGGGGAATACTGCATTTTTCTTTTTTTTTTTAATGTTTTATTTCTCTTTTTTCTTTTTTTTTAGACTGTATTTATTCATGAGAGACCCAGGCAGAGGGAGAAGCAGGCTCCCTGCAGGGAGCCTGACGTGGGACTCGATCCCGGGACCGCGGGGTCATGCCCTGAGCCCAATGCAGATGCTCCACCACGGAGCCACCCAGGAGTCCCAGGTACCACATTTTTCTACATGGGGCTGTTGTCGGTTCCACTTTCCACGTAAAATCATAGACATGAGGAGAAGAAGTGATTCTGTAAACAAAGAACGAGAACGTCTTTATCTCAAAGGCCTTGACTGAAGGTCGTGGTTAACGACCAAGATTCTAATGTTGTCGCTGGAGTCCTGGAAGAATTGTATCTGAAACTGCTTCTCCCCCTGCCTGTGTCTCTCATGAATGAATGAATAAATCATTTAAATAAAAAAAAAAAAGTCCTAAAGAGAAAGAGACCAAGATGTGAACGATAGGCCGAACGGTAGAACCCAAATTTTGTCCTCCTACATTAGATCCCTGAAGAATTTCACGGGCTTCTTCCAAAACATACATTTTTTTTTTACCTCCAGGGTATGAAATCCTAAAGAACGTATATCCTATATCGTATGTTCGCAGATTATTTTCGAAAAGCTGATCCTCTTTCGAAGTCGGTGCAGGAGAGGAGCTAGAAGCCGCACCCCGGACAGAACGAGGAGCGAAGCGGACGGTGGCGTAGTGGCGTGGCTTCCTCGCGGCCCGCCCTGCCCCGGCCCGCTCTCTCCAGGCCATCCTTCTCAGTGCCGCCAGAGTAATCTTCCTGAAACTCGGGTTACTCCCCGGCGGAGCCTAGAACCTTCGGGAAGGTTCCACGTCTCCAGAATTGAAAGCACCTTCATTCATCTGGCTCAGGCCTCCCTCTGCAATCCCTCTCCCACGGACTCCCCCTCGACCGCGCCCCCCTACACTGCACGGGCCCAGCGGCGTCGGCCCCAAGTAACGTGAAATCCTGCTCCAACTTTTATTTTTATTTATTTTTATTTTTTTTTATTTTTTATTTTTTTTATTTATGATAGTCACACAGAGAGAGAGAGAGAGGCAGAGACACAGGCAGAGGGAGAAGCAGGCTCCATGCACTGGGAGCCTGACGTGGGATTCGATCCCGGGTCTCCAGGATCACGCCCTGGGCCAAAGGCAGGCGCCAAACCGCTGCGCCACCCAGGGATCCCTACTCCAACTTTTAAACACCGAGGGACTGCCGGCGTCCACCGCACTGGGCCCGGTTCGGTCACGCCACTGGCTTCCTTTCTCTGCCGTCGCCTTAGTCCCGTGTGACATCTTTGTCCTCTGGTTGGCTCTCCTGGAGGTAACAAAGTAGAAGCCGGCGGCTCTCAGGTTTAGACGCTTTTTCTTCCATCCGATTGCATGTCTTCGCCCACCCATCAAGCCACAATCCTGGAGTTCTCTCTGGTTGGACACACCCAGCCCTGACCTGACGTCCCCGAGGAATGCCGTGTGGGCGACATGCTCCTCTGAGACCCCGCTGTAAGGGAAGAGTGGTTTACGCTGCCCGGCTAAGGCCAGTCGAGACCCTCCTTGTTGCTGAGAGTAAGGTCCATTATGCTCCCCCGTGGCTGGGAAATTTGGAGGGAAGGAAAGAATGGATGCAGAATAGGCACCTTCAGACCCCAAACGACTTACAATTCTCCAAGCCTTTCGTCCCGTGGTTTAGCTCTCTGCCCTCTTTCCGGAAAGTTCTTTTCCCACTTCATCTGTCTAGTAAATTCTTACTGTGCTCTCAATTCCAGGCCAAGCGTTTCACCATCCGTGAGATCTTTTGGGATCATTCACCCCAAAGAGGGCATTAGGTGCCTCTGTACACCGTTCTTAGACCAAGTACCAAATCAATTTATTGCCTTTCTCATTGTTCATCAATTACTTGTTGGATAGATTTGTCTCCCTCCAATAGACCTTTAACTTGTCGAGTACAGAACCCCTATCTTTTCTAATCCTTCCTCTTGACATTTATAGAATGACCAGAGCATAGACGAGTATCCTTTATTTTTTTTTAAGATTTTATTTATTTATTCATGAGAGAGAGAGAGAGACAGAGGCAGAGACACAGGCAGAAGGAGAAGCAGACCCCATGCAGGGAGCCCGATGTAGGACTCAATCCCGGGACTCCAGGATAACGCCCTGACCTCGGGGAAGTCACATGTGAGTTAACAGCTAGAGGCTATTAATAGTGTACAATCCTGTAGTATAAATTATACGTGTGTGACGGCGCTGCAGCAACAGTATTTGGCTGATTACGGAGGGAGGGATCCGGGTGGAATGATATTAGCCAGGAAGGGCTCTTGGAGGGGTGAGTCACAGGTTTTTGAACCAGGGGCTGATATGATGTAGATGGCACTCAAAACTATTGTCTTAGCAGCTATGTAGAGATGAGCCGAGATGGGAAAGCACAAATCAGGGAGACCAGGTAGGAGGCAGGAATGCAAAAGAGGTGACGGGCACCCGGACTGGTGTGTGGGCTATGAAATAGAGCTGGAATGGCTTAGAGAAGGCATTGCAGTGGGTTGCATAACAGCGTGGGCTTTGCAGGCAAACTGATCTGGGCTCCGATCCTGGCTCTACCACCGACTCGCTGTGTTACTTGGGTAACTAACCTACCTGCTGAAGGTCTGTCCCTTCGTCTACAAAACGCACGTGTGGACACTTGTCGTTTTTGCTGCCTAGTATTTTAACATCCTTCCAAATTTAAGTGAATCCCAACCTAAGTGCGAAGACACAGGGGACGCTGCTCTTCAGCCGGCCCCCGGCATCTAGGACACAGGCACG